TAAAATAAAAGAGATAATAGATATGAACAGAATTAAACTGATAAATAAGAACACAAGGTCAGTATTCTCTACCAAGTGTTTCCTTATATAATGCTCAAGATAAAACTTTCCAAAACAGAAAATATGATCTAGAAGTGGAATAAAAGCGATGATATCATATACAGTAAATTTATCATAAACATTTCTGATGTGGAATTAATCTCTATCTATAAAATGCAGGATGTGTGTGTGTGTAACGAATGCACGGCCGCAATTTTCGACGGATTTGCACCGAAATTTACATGCACATGCTCCAAGTAAGCAGGAAGGCCAAGACCGACGTTGCATTTCCCAACTCCCATCGATAGTGGAAATAATTGATTTTTTCATGATTCTACGGCAATTTTCATGTAGTTTGCGGCCATTTTCTACTGGCCAGAGTGAGAGCCTATAGCTGGCTGCCACGAATAGGCAGGAAAATTTTATTGGCCAGCGTGAGAGCCAACAGCTGACTGACACGAATGTTAACTAACATGCTAGCATGCAAAAAAAAAAAAATCGATAGCTGCATTCGTCACAAGTGGGAAAAATGTAAATGCATGGCACTTTACTCCAATTGGCTCATTCGCTTGCTTAAACTCAACGTTGATTCTGATTCCGCAGAACTGGGTTGGCTGTGAAAAAGTAATTGTTGTTAACATTCTTTTTTCATTCGGTTTTTCCAGTTACGAGTCCTTTTTTAAAGCTGATCGTTTTGTGTTCATTTTGTTTAGTTCTTTTTTTGTAACAGATTTAATGTTTAGTATAGAGCTTAGAAAAAATTCGCAGTGTGAGATAGGCAAGAAGTAAGGCATGTAACAACATCAGTACGGCAAAAGGCACTCCTTTAAAGGCAAGGAAGGGCAAAAATATTTTAAGTCAAGTGATAGCGATTGCTGTATGAGTCGTACAATTTTTGAATCAAGCACTGGCAACGCCGGACCATGTTGCTAGTAAATGCTAAACACTTAACAAAAAGCGGCGTATAAATCAGTTATGACAAATTTAGTTTAGACGAGAAAGAAATAGGATCCAGAATAGAATGCGGAAGTGACAGTTTTGTCATCGCTCGTCAATATGTTGACATTCCGCGCAGCTTCAACCAAAAGGTTAGAAGGAAATCTCCATCAATACAAGAAAGAATGTGTTAGAGAATCCCATTTTCCTGAAAAATGCTTAAGACAAAGAAATTCTTACTGGCTAAATGTCGTTGGTTTCCGTATAAGGAGATATCTAATATTCTTTTTCTTCTAAGTAGAATCACCCTTTTGAACGTGATTAATTATGTGTTATTTTATTTTAAACAATTGTCTTGTAAATGGCATTTTAAAAGCATTCTGAATGTAAAAATAAAGAAAAAAGTGTGCAAGACAATAAGAAACAGTACATACCAAAAAAAAAAGTGAAGTTTTGTTGAAATCGGTTGAAAAATGTAGGTAGCCTTTCTGTAATCTTTTAGTTTTACAATTTATGATTTTTACTTATTGAATACAGTAATAAAAATTGCATATTTTGCTTGTGATGATTCATAATTAGAATTCTGATTTGAATATATTTTCCACTCGTTGTTTCTAATACAAAAAATATTAACTTTATTTGGGTTTATCAATTACGATCTAACAAATCTTATTCATTTAGTAGCCTTTCTGTAATAATAATCTTTTACAATTTATGATTTTTACTTATTGAATACAGTAAAAAAATTGGACATCCATGTGTATTTAAAGTAGTTTCCCGTTCCGGTTATTATTTTTAGTTAGGACTTGTGTATGTTTAGATTTCATTATCTTTCCTTAAAGATAAAGAATTTATCCGATGTTTGTATTCGTACAATCAGTATAGATCGTTAGATTATTGTTTAAGGTTGACGGACACGCATGTCTTAATTAGTTTTTTTTTTTTTTACGAATTGGTCAAACTCAAACAAAAATATTGGTTTCAATCGTTATGAGTCTCCCAATTGAATAGAATTTTATTATAAATAATTGTCTTGTAAATGGAATTTTTAAAGCATTCTGAATGTTAAAAATAAAGAAAAAAAGTGTGCAAGAGAATAAGAAACACTACCTGCCAAAAAAAAAAAAAAGTGAAGTTTTGTTTTATCGGCTGAAAAATATAGGAAATCCGATCCCATATTTAAAGGAACCCCCACACACAAACAACCCGATGTGAGTTGTCTCCCTTCCATTTTCCGGATGTCTCTTAATCGTGTTTTCAAATTGATTTTGTGCAAAAACAATTATATTTTTCCCATTTTTGGCGCTGTTAGAACCACCACAAGGTAATTTTATGTAGTCTTGTGAAATTTTGTTGAAATCGGTTGAAAAATGTAGGAAATCCGATCCAATATATAAACGTTACACACACACACACACACACACACACACACAATCTGCGTTTTATAATAAGTAAGATTGTCTGAACGCGACTCTGTTTCGGACTGCCTCTGACTCGACTGACTGACTCGCTCTCTCTGACTGACTGACAGACTCCTGACGGACTTCACTCCAGATTTCAGACTGAACTCTAGACTTCAGACTGAACGGTATTTAGTCACCGCCCCACGAGGGCATCAAGTGGCACAAGGCCGATTTAACGTGGGATCTCCTAGCCCGTGGGCTCAGCCAAAAATATGCCCTTTGAACCCGTATAAACAGGTTCAGGTTCGGTTTACCTCCCCGAAAGAGACCCCGCCCTTCGGCGTAGCCTCGTTCGGGTTCCTCCCCGCCCGAAGGCAGAGTTCAACTGATCCGCCGATCAGCCGGTCGCCCGACTTCGGACTGAACGGTATTTAGTCACTCCCACCACGAGGGCATCATGTGTCACAAGGCCGGTTTAACGTGGGATCTCAGAGCCCGTGGACTCGGCCAAAAATATGCCCTTTGTAACCCGTATAAACAGGTTCAGGGTCGGTTTACCTCGCCGAAAGAGACTCCGCCCTTCGGCGTAGCCTCGTTCGGGTTCCTCCTCGCCCGAAGGCAGAGAGTTCAACCGATCAGCCGGTCAGCCGGTCACCCGACTTCGGGCTGAACTCCCTGCTTCCTCTTGAGGCGCAGTATTGATTACGTATGGAATAGTCCATTATGTTATTATGGGTAAGGTCCCATAACATTATGGCTCTTCACAATTTTCTGTCAATTGTTGCTTTTAGTAAACTTTGTCTTTTTGATATCTCCTATACTCTATTCTGCCAGCCATTTAAAAAAGCTCGTTAGGTAAATTATGCTCTGTTTTCTACTGCCCCAGTTATCTTCAATACTTCTGGTGTGTCAGATTTTCCAAGCTTACTTTCCTCATTATCTACACTAGAAATATCTGTTGTCCTTTGTTAATGTCCTTTTTTCTCCATTTGCTCTAAAACTTCTCTTTCTTCATTATGAGCTTCAAAAATTTCAAATACTTCCTCCTGATGTCTTTCTTCCTATATACGTGCCATTTTTGTTTCCATTGTCTCTAGAACTTTCCCATCGTTCCTATGTTCAACCCATGGTATTCTCAATATCCTTCTGTAGAGCCACATTTCCGTTTCTTCAAGTCCCAGCATTCACTGCCGTATAGGAGGACTGATGTTACATAACATTTAAGTACTCTTTTCCTTATATGGGAACCAGTAATAAGGAGTGCCAGAGAAAAGCAATGATAACAACATAGTTGCAATATGAGCTCTGGTAAAAAAACATGCAATGATAACAGCAAAAATTGCAATATGAGCACTGGTAAAAATGGTTGCTGATGACATTAGGTTTATAATACTCAGAAATTCACACCCAGATGGTCACATGGCACAGTGGATAAAGGCGTTGGTTAGATCCAGTGACAGGCCCCAAAGAGTGTGAGTTCAATACCCAGTTAAGGCAGTGGACAACTTTCAGAGGGAAATTAACAGGAGATAACTAATAACTGACATCCATCATGGCACGGGGAACTAGAACAGTCTACCCCGGTGAGCGAAATAAAGGGTTCAGTTCGACATTCCAACCACCTGAAGAAGGCAGGGGCGTACAACGGCCGAAACGTTGTGATAAATATGGCGACAAAGATGAGGAAAATAGTCCGAATAATGTAAATAATACCTCATCTCAGAAATATAGACAGACTCTTTTTCTAGATTCTTGGTTACCATTTTATCTGCTACTTTATTTCGCTATTCTTGGCCACTCTGTTGTGAAAACTCCGTCACACCGAATCTGATACATAGACCTTACATTCTATCTATGTTTAAGAGACAACCCAACTTCTTTCTCGGGGGGTGGGGACTCTACCCTTCTATCCAAGTTTTTTTTTTCTTCTGGCGTACGCATATATGAGCCACTGTCATACTCACAGAAGTTCACCCCTCTATATCCCAGACAATCGTTTATCTCCACCCCTGGCTGGGGTCACCTCAGATAAATTCTACTTCTGGCTACCTTTGAGAATATGGTGTGAAATTGATTGCCAAACCATTTTCTCCACAAAAAGACAGAATAAAGTTGGTTATGCTCGTTCGAATTCATTCAAGGATTGTATTTAATAATTCGTTTAATTTTTTTTTATAGCAAGACGTTGAGGAAATTGGGATTCAAGTGAGAGAAGCAGGAAAAATATGGTGAAAATTTGGAAATGGTGGCATAGCATTTTTCGAATAGCCTCGAAATGGTTACATCATCATTGGTGATCAGAAACAACAAATAATTTCAGCCAAAGAAGATTTTTTTTCCGGTGACAAAATAAAATGGTGCCGACAACAAGAAGGCGGTTTTCTGCTTTTGAATATTTTGATGTCGGTTGGTTGTAAATAATTTTGAGCGTCGGTTAACAGCGTATGGTTTCGATCGAACGCGAATGGCGCTTTTGAGAGCCACCAATTTTGATTTCATCGGGGAAACAGAGAAGATTCTGAATTAATCAAGAGAATTATGTCGAGATGGATGAGTGAGTTTATGTCGTAGGATAAATTTAGCGGAAGATCAGTTAGGACCGGTTAAATTTAAGTGTCACAAATGCAGAAAGATCGAAAAACATCGATGTCAATTCATATCTATCTATCTATCTATATATCTATCCTCATTCCCAGACCTGTTTTTATCTATCTATCTATCTATCTATCTATCTATCTATCTATCTATCTATCTATCTATATCTATCTGTGAGGGTCTGCAAAGTTATCTGCAGATCCAAAATCATTCATCTATCTATCTATCTATCTATCTGTGAGTGCCGGCTGCAAAGTTATCTGCACGATCCAATTCTATCTATCTATCTATCTATCTATCTATCTATCTATCTATCTATCTATGAGGCCTGACTGCAAAGTCAATATCATATCATCTATTATCTATCTATCTATTTGTGAGGGCTGACTATCGATCCAATTCTATCTATATCTATCTATCTATCTATCTATCTATTCATCCATCTTCTATCTATTTGTGAGGGCCGACTGCAAAGTTATCTGCACGATTCAATTCTATCTATCTATCTATCTATCTATCTATCTATCTATCTATCTATCTATGAGGCCCAGAGGGCAAAGTTATCTGCACGATCCAATTCTATCTATCTATCTATCTATCTATCTATCTATCTATCTATCATATCTATCTATCTATTTGTGATGCAAAGTTATCTGCACGATCCAATTCTATCTATCTATCTATCTATCTATCTATCTATCTATCTATATCTATCTATCTATCTATCTATCTATTTGTGAGGGGCTGCAAAGTTATCTGATTCAATTCTAATCTATCTATCTATCTATCTATCTATCTATCTATCAATCTAGTGAGGGCCTGACTGCAAAGTTATCTGCACGATCCAATTCTATCTATCTATCTATCTATCTATCTATCTATTATCTATCTATCTATCTATCTATTTGTGAGGGCCGACTGCAAAAGTTATCTGCACGATTCACCCCAATCTAACTATCTATCTATCTATCTATCTATCTATCTATCTATCTATCTATCTATCTAGGGCCGACTGCAAAGTTATCTGCACGATTCAATTCTAACTATCTATCTCATATCTATCTATCTATCTATTATCTATCTATCTATCGATCAAAGTTATCTGCATTGATCCAATTCTATCTATCTATCTATCTATCTATCTATCTATCTATCTATCTATTTATTTGAGGGCCGACTGCAAAAGTTATCTGCACGATTCAATTCTAACTATCATCTATCTATCTATCTATCTATCTATCTATCTATCTATCTATCTATCTATTTGTCGGCTGCAAAGTTATCTGCACGATCCAATTCTATCTATCTATCTCATCTATCTATCTATCTGTGTGAGTTTCGGCTGCAAGTTATCTGCACGATCCAATTCTATCTATCTATCTATCTAATCTATCTATCTATCTATCTATCTATCTATTTGTGAGGCCGACTGCAAAGTTATCTGAACGATTCAATTCTAATTATCTATCTATCTATCTATCTATCTATCTATCTATCTATCTATCTATCTATTTGTGAGGGCCGACTGCAAAAGTTATCTGCACGATTCAATTCTATCTATCTATCTATCTATCATCTATCTATCTATCTATCTATCTATCTATTTTCTGCAAAGTTATCTGCACGATCCAATTCTATCTATCTATCTACCTATCTATCTATCTATCTATCTATTATCTATCTATCTATCTATCTATCTATCTGTGAGTGCTGGCTGCAAAGTTATCTGCACGATCCAATTCCTATCTATCTATCTATCTATCTATCTATCTATCTATCTATCTATTTGTGAAGTTATCTGCACGATTCAAAACTGAATGTATCTATCTATCTATCTATTTGTGAGGGCCGACTGCAAAGTTATCTGCACGATCCAATTATATATCTATATCTATCTATCTATTCATCTATCTATCTATCTATCTATCTATCTATCTATCTATTTGTTGGTTATGCACGAAAATCTAATCTATCTATCTATCTAAATCTATCTAGGAATCTATCTATCTAGACTGAGACTGCAAAGTTATCTACGATCCAATTCTATCTATCTATCTATATCTATCTATCTATCTATTTGTGAGGGCCGATAAAGTTATCTAGATTCAATTCTAACTATCTATCTATATCTATCTATCTATCTATCTATATCTATTCATCTATCATTTGTGAGACTGCAAAGTTATCTGCACGATCCAATTCTATCTATCTATCTACCCATCTATCTATCTAGATCTATCTATATCTATTTGTGAGGGCCGACTGCAAAAGTTATAGATTCAATATCTATCTAGATCTATCTATCTATCTATCTATCTATCTATCTATTTGTGAGGGATGCAAAGTTATCTACGATCCAATTCTATCTATCTATCTACCTATCTATCTATCTATCTATCTATCTATCTATCTATCTATCTATGAGTGCCGGCTGCAAAACTGCACGATCCAAATATCTATCTATCTATCTATCTATCTATCTATCTATCTATCTATCTATCTATTTGTGAGGGCCCGCTGCAAAGTTATCTGCACGATCCAATACTATCATCTATCTATCTATCTATCTATCTATTTGTGAGGGATGCAAAGTTATCTGCACGATCCAATACTATCTATCTATCTATCTATCTATTCATCTATCTAGATCTATCATTTGTGAGGCCGACTGCAAAAGTTATCTGCACGATCAATTTATCTATCTATCTATCTATCTATCTATCTATCTATCTATCTATCTATCTAGATTCTGCACTGTTCATATCTGTCTACATAGCCGAAACTTAAAAAGAAAAAAATAAAGGAAATGCAAAAATGAATGTAACATCGAGTGAAATATATATATATATATATATACTGATCATGGTTGGCATAAAAAGAATGTTAGACAGGAATGCACAGACTGAGATAGATAGATAGATAGATAGATAGATAGATAGATAGATAGATAGATAGATAGATAGATAGATAGATAGATAGATAAATATATTCAGACTGATAAAGCAGTGATGAACAGACTGAAATGTACATACAGTAGATCTAAGTAATTATCTATCTATGTATCTATCTATCTATCTATTACTGCTCGCATCTATCTATCACAGTAGATAGATAGATAGATAGATAGATAGATAGATAGATGAACAGACTGAGATAGATAGATAGATAGATGAACAGACTGAGATAGATAGATAGATAGATAGATAGATAGATAGATAGATAGATAGATAGATAGATAGATATCCGACCACCATAGACAAGATTCGATTCGAGTGGAATGACCTTAGGTAGATATCTCTGAAAAGAATGACAGACACTGGAATGAACAAACTGGTATAAGTAGATAGATATGAACAGACTCTAATCACTCACCAGCTCGATGAATAAAGTATGGCTGAGAAGGTTGATAATGGACTCAAAATGATAAATTGATTGAAAGCGACAGCTATTGATTTTAAAGATATGAAGTGAATTAGAATGGAAAGGGTCGACATTTTGTGTGATTGATTGATTACGCCGTCGTCCAGTGGATTTATCAGTAAGGAGACATATGCACTAATATATATTGTGGACACACCCCAGCACACACGTAGTGAATGCTAGATATTGAATAACAGACAGATGGGCGACCACATCCAAGCCCAAACACTCACACGTAAACCATCGTACATGCCTAAACAGAAACAGGTTTCTCACCATGGGGTAGTAGTTAACGAGTTCGTGTCTTCAGCTATCACTGAGAACTTCAAATTTTAGCCGTCTATCGGCGTAAATCATGGACTGTAAACATTTATGAAAGTCTCGCTATGATATTTCTACTGTTACTACACCTAACATAAGGCCCGGGGGCCACTCAATGTAGAGGGTTCTTGCTGTATTCTAGGAAAAGTTACTGAATAGAATAATCACAAAAAGGTTGGTAATGAACGATAATACACAGGACACGAACAGCGCATATAAAATACGCCAGCGGCGCGTAGAAGCAGTCAATTGGTAGAAGTGAGACAAGTGAATTCCACAATGAATCTCCAACTGCAGGATATCTACCAACCGACCCACGCGGTCAGATGTGGCGCAAGGGCGAATTTAATGTGGGGTATCCGAGCCCGTAGGCCCGGTCAAAGATTCCCCGTATAAAACCGGGTCGGGCTGCTTTTTCCCGAAACAAGACTACTCTTCGACATAGCCTCGTCTGAGAGAGTTTGACCAGCACAGCTGGAAACGAATCTCCGACTGCAGACCAACATACAGTATTTACTACTGTATTTATGTAAATACACATTATCGTCCTTAGGTATGCTACAACATTATGCTGGACCTGAAGTGACTAATATTACCAGTCACAAATTACGAGTTCTAGGGATGAAACTGTCTCAGTTCAGCTTACACCTTCTCAAAGCAACACGTGGGGAATGTAGATTATTTGCCAACGTGAATATGGCATGTCTATTCCTAACTGTGTAGGTCCTGAGCTGGTGGATCTAATGTAACTCGCCCTAACATCTGCCATTGTAATATTGATAATGTCGAGAGAGAATATAAACGTCTTGTCTGTGGGTTGCAAGGCCCTGTTGTCACTTTTGAACTCTGTCAAAATTGGACAATGAAGATGGGAAGAACCTGTCTAGATATAGTAGCATTCTTGGTCAAATCTGAAAGAATTAAGTAAGACTACTCACATAATCGGTGTCACTTTGCTTTCGATTTCAGGTAAAAATCCTTGCTAGAATATTATTAAGTAGACAAATAAGTCCAAATCTAGCATCTGGGTTCTAATCAATTTCCTACTTAGCTTTTGTCTTTTCTATCGATATTTTCATGGCATTTGTACTAGTGAGCTCTTCTCCTTGGCACGTCGACCGAATGGATTTAAGCATACTACTAGATTGACACATAGGACTCATTGTTTTATTGTTGAATTAGCTAGATATTTTTAAAGCATTTCACCGCAAGCATGGTGAAAATGCCACTAGTACGCAGTGGGGGGTGCTTACAGAGAGTGAAAGCAAGAGAAAAAGGCTGGGTATAGGAGGAGGTGTTGAGGAAAGAATTAAAAGAAGAAAACGGGATCAAGGCATCAGAAGATGACGATTGACGTTGCATTTAAATTTTTGAAGATTATAATTATCAGAGAAGCAAGTAAGAGGAAGAGGGTTTCACAGTTAGGAAGTGCGAGAAAAGAAACTGTTGGAGTAGAAGTGTAAGTTCTATTCTAATAGTTTATTTTCTCGCACTTCTCACCTGTAGAACTCTTCTAGTTTCTTGCTTCATTGCTACCTACAATTTTCAAAAACTTTAAACACAACATCAATCTATCTTCTATATTCCTGAATTCTCTTCCATTATTGTCCCGTCTCTTCATTACAGTTTTCTAATTTCCTTTCACTCTCAATAATCCCTTACATTTTGTGTATTAAATAAAAGCGTGATAGATCTGCTTATTAAAACAAATTATTGGAGTTTGAAATATGATTGTTCCTATCAAAATAAACAAAATACAACCAGTTTTCAAGGGGGTGTAGACTTTTGTAATGCACTGTAGATCTGCTGCCAAGAAGGTTGGCTCACCATGTCAGGACATACAATGTTTTTTGACAGAATCCGTCTTGCTCATTTATGAATCTGCCATTCGTCTCTGCATTGAATATTGCTTTGATGAAATGATGAAAAAAAAGCCATGTCTTGTTCCTTGAACCATTCCAGAATGTACCTGTCTGACTACGTACTGTATCTTTATGTTAGATTAAATCAGAAATAGACTATTGCTGCTATGTCTAAGCTGGAGCTGCCCAGTCCTCATTTTCAAGCCTTGACATGGTTTGTTCCTTGTACCACTCCAGAAAGTACCTGTTTGACAATTCCTACCATGCTGTATCCTTACAAGTCAGATCAAATCACACATGGGCTATTGCTGCCATGTCTAGGCGAGAGTTGCCTAGTCCTCACTTTCAAGCCTTGACATGGTTTGCTCCCTGTACCACTCCAGAAAGCACATATCTGTCTCCTCCTAGCACGCTGTAACTTTACAGGTTAGATCAAGTCAGAAATCAGCTACTGCTACCATGTCGTTTTTTTATATGGTTACATTGTTGTAAACGAGGAGAATGAGCGGGCAAGAAGTGCTTATAAGGAAGATGGGTAGGATAGATATCAATTGACCCTGGACTTGAAGGGACCAAGATTGTAGTTGACAGGGAATCTGTATTTGTTCATTCAGGTTGAAGAATCATGGAAAACCGTAGAGTTCATTGTTTTGCAGCACAAAGACAACAAAGATACATACATTCTTGGTGGCACTGATGACATTCAGCAACTGTGGGATGACAGCAACATAAACATTGCAACACTGATCAGTTCTCATCATGTTGGACCAATAAAATCAAGGGTTGAAGAATGGCAGCGTCAGTTGGACTTATTTAGAAAAAACTCTAGTAATCAGATTTTACATGTTCTTTTTTTGTTTGGGGGTGGGAGCGTGCAGTGGTTTGATTTATTTATTTTATTTTTTTTAATATGATTACATTGTTGTAAGGGAGGGAAAGGAGGGAGTAGGAAGTGCATATTATGTGGAAGTGTACGGTAGATATCAATTGCCCCTGTGCTTGAATGAACCAAGATTGTAGTTGACAGGGAAGCAACCTCGTGGGAGTTTGTTTCACAAATTATCAGTTTTGGGAAAGAAGCTGTCTGAGTGCTGCTTACACCTTCTCATAGGAATATGAAGGGTATGGGATTATTTGACACCAGGAACCTGTCATGGTTGGTCCTTGCTGTGAAGGTCTGAGATGACGG